TTGTTCGGAGTAACCTTAGAACCATCCACAGTATCTTCCTATTGAGGAACAATTGCTAAGCCTAGAATTCTTAATTCCACCATCCATTGTTCTTCTCCATCTTATATAGTGTTGTTAAACATGAAAAATGAAAACAGTGCTCTAACTAGAACTAAACAGTTCATATCAAAAGCTGAAAATTCTTAACATTGGACACGGAATAGCAATGATTGCACCCGCAATATCTTCCTTTTGAGGAACAATTGCTGACCCTAGACGTCTTAATTCCACCACTCATTGTTCTTTACCATCTTACATAGTGTTGTTAAACATGAAAATACAAGACAGTGCTCTAAATAGAACTAAACAGTTCATACCGAAAGCTAAAAATTCTCAACATTGGATACAGAACAGAAATGATTGCATCATGTTCTCCAAAACCTAAAGAGCACAGTCAAGAAAAACCCTTCTTGAATGTTTTCACTAAATGTCTACTCCTTATGTTAGTCAATAATTTTCTTTTTCCTAGATGCATTAGCAGCATTTTTTCCCATCTACTTAATCATCTTCTACCTCTGGTTATCCAGCAATTATTTCTATTGATCAAGCAATCAAAATCAGCTTCACCGTACCAATCACCAATATGGAATTTGATCTTTGTAAATGCAAATTGACATCTTCAATAGCAAATGGTTCGCAATAGTTGTGATCATTATACAATGCATAAGAAGCAAATTTAGGACTAACTCATTATTTAATGAACGATGACACGTTTAATTCTGATTTAGCAATAGTGCAACCAATAGATATTTCTAAATGTCCACACAGACATATCCAATATTCATTTTCTTTTTTTCTCTTTTGTTCCCCCGTCAGGTTACCCAGAATCAGTTAAAATAAAAAGGAAATATAAATTTTTTTATTTAATAAATTCGATTATCAGATCAAGATACATCAGAAATTCATGTCGCCTCCGTGTACAGCTGCGTATCTCATTTTCTAGATACTTCATCTACACTAACCGGACAAGAAAAGCACATGCAAGGTCAGAAAACAGAAGAGCTTCCCCTAGACCACAACCAAAGAGAAAAAAGCAACTATGATACAAAAGCTACACTGATAGAAGTAGCCAAAGAGAAATACCCTTTTCTCTTCTTTCTCTGCCTATTCAGTGTCTGAAGGCAAAGCGTAAGGGGCACCTTCGAGCACTAGATTCTGCAAACCAGGTTTTAATTCCCGATTACAGAAGTCCTCGTACTCTACTCTGTCTCCTCCTTTCTTCTTCACCTCAACAACTCTCAAAGATGGTGTCAATTCAAATATCTCAGCTGCAATCGTCAATGGACCCTTTACACCCTCTCTTGACCCCTCCAAATTTACTCTACAATCCTTCTTCCTTACTGTAAAACTCACAACCTTGGCAATCTCTTCCAACTTGGATATAATCTTTGGTACCGGAGCCCCCGAAACGAACCTTGCTCCATCAGTTCCTTCCTCAAATAAACCAGACAAATCAAAACCACGCGAAAACGAAATAATATCAAATGCATTCAAACTAGCTGGCCTAGGCAAAGTAGCCAATCTCCTCCTGCTCTCAACTTCAGGTTCAGGCTCAGAGAAAGACTGATCAGACTCAAACCCATCACCCTCACCCAGTGTCTCACCCCGACCACCCTCCCAAACTTCATCGTTTACACTGCATAATTTATCATCCTCAATATAAAACTTGATATGCTTAAACCCCTTCTTAAACCACCTATTCTCCATTATCTCTGCAATCGTAATCCGAGTCTCGGGATTTGTATCAAGGATTCGAGTTAAAAACCGAGTCAATTCGGGAGAAAACCATCTAGGACACCTGAATTCACCCTTATAAATCTTCTTATACATAGCCATAACATTTTGATCATGAAATGGTAAATACCCTGCCATTAACACAAACAAAATCACCCCACATGACCAAATATCAACTTTAGCAGCATCATACCCTTTTCTTGCCAAAACTTCAGGTGCAACATAAGCTGGAGTACCACAAAAGGTATGAAAAAGACCGTCTTGCTTAATCTGCTCGGAAATAGCACTAAGCCCAAAATCAGAAACCTTAAGATTACCATCTTCATCCAACAATATATTCTCAGGTTTAAGATCTCTATGATAAACACCTCTAGCATGACAAAAACCAACTGCAGAAATCAATTGCTGAAAATATTTTCTAGCTACCTCTTCTTTAAGCCTCCCTTTTGCAACCTTATTGAATAGCTCCCCACCCTTAACATACTCCATCACAAAATAGATCTTGGACTTTGTAGCCATCACCTCAAACAATTGAACAATATTGGGATGCCTTACTCTTCTCAAGATAGAGATCTCCCTTTTAATATGAGCAATCAGCCCAATTTTCAGCACCCTTTCTTTATCAATAATCTTGATTGCTACATTTTCATTCGTCTTCACATTTCTAGCATGATAAACCTTAGCAAAGGTCCCATGGCCTAACAATTTCCCGATTTCGTACCGGCCTAATATCAAGCCTTGCAATTCCTTCTTCCTGGAGCTGGTACTTGTTGCTGCTGTTGGTGCTGCCGGAGCTGCTGCAGCCATGGTGCAAAATCTCGAGATAAACTCAAAAGGGTCGGTCCAAATCCCAAAAGGGTCAATCAATTTCACAAAATTGAATTCTAGTTTGATCGTCTAGACAAGAATGGGATTTGAAAAATTCAGGTGTTCGGAGGCGGCGTTATTTCCATAACAGGGGGAGGATGGAGAAGGGAGGCAGCCAAGAAAGGAGGGTGTCTTTCCTGTGTTGCTTGACGTCCGCCGTTTGGACTTTTTTTTTTGGAGGTTTCTGAGGTGTAGAAATAAAAGAGTTCTGCAATGATTGTGGAAAAATGGTATTTATAGGCTGGTTAATAAAGGTCAATTCAATGGAGAGAGAAAGAGAGAAGGAGAGAGTTAGAGGAGTTGTAGGAGTAATTTAGTACTGTTATGTGTGAAGCAGATTCTGCGTCTCATGTTTTACAGCTGGAGGCAGATTTATCATTTGACTGTAACGGCTATTCATTTATTTTCAGAAATAATTTTGGGTATAATTACGTAAACCACTCTTGAGATTTCTGATAATTGCCACCACTTTCATTAGAGTTTGAAAAACTATACTTACCTCCTTTTAGTGTTATGAAATAATTATAATAACCTTGACAACTCTGCAAATCGTAAGTGAAAAATGGATACAAAGAAAAAAAATCATATTTTACAAATTTTTTTTATCCAAAAATGCTAACCTCATTTCACCTAATACATTATATTCAATTCGTAAGTTAGTTGAATGGATTTCTTATTTGATCTTATAAATAGCTAACTAGTAAGGATGCATTTTTTAAAATTAGTTTCTTCACAACCTATTTAAAAAAGAAAAAAAAAGTTCAAACATTAAAAAATGATGCTTTGAAGCATGACCTAAATTTTACTGCAAAGAACCCTCTTAAAATTTTTTCTACTTAGCAAGTAATGTTGATATTTTATTTCTTTTGTCATTTAATTTATTTTGTAAATCAAATAGGAGCAATATAGGATGATATTCATTGGCCTCTCTGTGCTTACATCATCATTTGTTACCAAAATATGCTTTTTGGGGGAGGTCTCCATAATTTTTCAGACCTCAAGGGAGGTGGCTGCAATTGTTCCAAAACTCAAGAGAAGTTTTTGAAATTATCCCACAACTTTGGACGCAATTTGGCAAATGATTGAGAAATTATTTTGGTTAAATGTAAAATGGGAATTGTTGATGGATATGCTTGATCTTGATGACACTCTTTTTTTTTTTTTTTTTTTTTAACGGTTCTACTCATGTGAAATGGTTAAAAAACAAATGTCATACTCTTCATGTTAATTATAACTTCATGAAAGTGGTGGTAGTAAATTTAATGAAGGTTGTGGATATTTTTGTCTAATCAAAATGTTGAAAAGGTTAAATGAATTTAACGAAGGATGTGGATATTTGGAGGCTACATCAAGATGTTTCCATTTTGACAAAAAAAAAAAAAAATCAAGATGTTCCCTGATGAAAGATCATGATGATGTGTGAAACTGTGAATTGTGATAAATGGTTGGTAATATGACCCACACTTAGAGAAGTGCCGACGTAAAAATTGCAGATTCGAATATTCCATCATCCATTTCTTTTTATTCTCACCGGTCACTGCTATTTGAACACCAATCTTTGTCGTTTCGAATCCGTCAACTGCCAAGCAACTGATGTTGGTCCAAATGAAAGAGATTTGCATCTCTTAATCATAAGAATCGTACAATGAATGTGGTTCATATTAAAAAAATATATATATCTGTCCAATGTCAAGAAGAGGCATGCCAAAATTTTATACTTTTTGGTTTGTAAGACAAAATTACAAAACTAGAATCAAAATTTTATACAAAATTTTGTCATAATTTTGTTTGGATTCTAGTGCTGTAAGACAAAATTTTATGAGTATTTTTTTTAACATATTTTTCAATCAATTTTTTATGTTAAATTATTATACCATACTTTTTTTGATCGGGTCAATTGCTTGTTCGGTCAAACTAGAGATCCGACCTGATATAATGCTCAGATCATTGGGTTGACCAGTTCAACTATCGAAGAACTGGGCTGGATTTAATAACTATGATCCAAACTAGCCTCAATTTTGAGGCGCACCACAATTTTGCACATAATGCAAGAGGGATAATTTCAGAAACCTCCCCTGAGGTTTCTGACAGTTTCACTCCCCTCCCCTGTGGTTTCTAAAATTGCACAAACCTCCCCTAAAACTTGATAGGCAATGCCAAAATAGACCCAATTTAAAAATACAAACAATAAAAAATTAGTATCTGGAGAGAGAAACAAGTGTATACCACAAATGCCCTCATTATCTTGGGTTAGAGAGCTAATTTGATGTGAAGAATTGGAAGGGGAATTTAAGAAGAATGAAACTTGAGGGGGTGTAAGTGAGACCAATCAACAGACAAACACACAACGTCAGGGGAGGTTTTAGTGAAGGGTTCTTACTTCTGGTTATTAGATTAGTGGAGCAATGCACTTTCCAAAGTGTTCATAGTGTACAAAACAAGATTTAGAGCAGTTCATTCATGTAGAAAGCTATGATGAACATTGAGTGTCAGGAATTAAAACAACTGAGCAGAAAATCTCTCTTGTTTTCTTTACTTCAGCCATTCAGCAATGCTGTCAATCCACTGGTCACTGAAGCCTTAAGAGTAGGAGAAACTGAATCACTTCCCAGAAATACATCAAAAAGAGCTGATATCACATTTGTTGACTCAGTAGTTGCATCAACACCAGAAGGCAACCCATCACTCGATACAGAAACCTACAGATTTTTTAAGAGAGTCAAGCTGATATGTTTACAAGAAAGAAAATAGCACAGTAGAAGCTTAAGACTAAGAAGAAAAGAGGAAACACATCTTTAGCAAAAAGCCATCAGCATATAAAGAAATGCAGGAAAATTGAATTTTACTACATGCAACTTACAAGCATTTTGGTAGAGTCCGGCCAAGTCAAGAAGATAATGGTACCCTTATTAAGAGGCCTTCCTTGAAACAGAGTACTAAATGTAGAAAGAGCAGAGGTATCAACTGGAGTAGGCAATTTAATTCTTGGAGAGATGGCTTCATCTAAGGCATCCCAAAACGTTTTACCATCCACATCTCTCACCAGAACAATTTGCAGAGACTTTTCCAAAGGAGCTGCAGTTTCCAATCAATATTAGCTTCTTAATTTACTTTTCCCTCTTCTCTCTTTCTTGTTCAATCAGATTTGATAAATGCAAACAGTTTTATCCTAGTGAAATTGACTGATTCACATATAGCCCAGCAGCATACACCTTGACACCAATGATTGCAAAAACTCTCTCCCTGTATCCTGACATTATTGCAACAAATTTAATATTTGCAGAAGATAATTTTTTCAATTAGCAGCTACAATCCCAAATTGAATGGAATCATTTCAAAGTTCAAGCAGCAAGCTCCTTAATTTACACTAAAAGGATGTTTGAGAAACTGACCAGTTCCAGTTAATGACATTGAGGTGGAGCAGCCTAGAATGCTTAATGACGTTCGGAACTTTACTTTTGTTGCGGGCTCTTCTGTATATTCTTTACTTTCAACTAAAGCATAACTCAATGGTAAAAGTGTCAGATTTCAGGCAGGATGATACATTATGATGCTATGACCTATTTTCATCGTTTGTATTTGATTTATAGCCCATCTTCTGCAATAAGCAAACTTGCTGCTGCATTCTCTAATAAAGGATGTCTAATGTATTTTAGGGATCTACCTTAGCCACTCTTACTTTTCTTCCCATACAATGGAGCACAATATCATGAACATCAGTGTTAACCATCCTACAATAGACAGTCATAGCCTACTGAAGTTACAATATTAGTTATTGGAGTTACAGAAAATATTAGTTACAATATTAACCATCTTGCAACATTGGTTGCTGAAGTTACAGAGAAAGAATGAGCTCTCAAGGTACTGAGGTTTGGCATCTAACTATATCAAACAACCCAAGTAAGACAAGAAATATAGAATCAAGCAAGCATAATCTGGTAGAGGCTTAGCAAACCAAGTCACATGACAAACCAGAAAATCATAAGCAAACATATATCAAGCTTATACAAACAACGCACAAATCATCATAAGCTGCCAAGGAATGTTGAAAGAGTCTCCGAAATCTTAAACACTTACCTGGTAAATTTTTCTGGTCGAGCTAAGAGACTCTTCAGCAAAGCTTAGAATCAACAAGTTTGTTTGCCAACCATTAAGCTCAATTGCTCTATCTCAACAATGGCGGGAGTCCAGTAAGTTTCTTGCTTCTATATGCACAGATTTTTTTCAAGCCGTTATGTCAATCAGATCAAGATCATGGCGCCTAAGTTTGGCTCCATTTCACTACGCTCCCTTTTCTATTTTGGTTGTTAGGACTCTAATTTATGATTAATTACATTAATTGTGTTAATAACTAACTTAACTAATAGCTTTCAGATAATCACGAAATATTAGCAAAATTGTAAGGGTCTTTAAGTCTTTTTGACACCAATGATGTAAGAAATGGGACCTCACCATCTGACAAGGGAGGTTTGTGGAATTTCAGAAACCACAGGGGAGGGGAGTGAAACTGTCAGAAACCTCAGGGGAGGTTTCTGAAATTATCCCAATGCAAGACGATAAACTCATTAACTTCAACAAAAAACAGTGGGCTTAAGGACAATTGACGAAGAGAGTTTGAATGATTATGTGAGCTGAGAACAATTGATACTGGCAGTAATTCTAGTACGAACCAGAAGTGGATAAATTTATGCTTGGAATGACTAGCAAAAGGGGAATGGATTGAAAATGGTGATAAACACAGTTAAAAATTCTACTCAAAGAAGTGTATTTACTCGTAATTAGTACTTTGGTTTGAGTCATTTAATAATCCAGAATGCGTTACTCTTCAAAATTATAGTAATTGACAGTTGTCTCCTTAAGATTGTAAAGTATCAAAATCTGAATTTATTAAATTACTGAATTGTAAAGTATCAAAATCTTAATTGAATGCATTAAATCTAAGTGCTGATGGGCACTCTATTGTTTCTTTAGTCCTACTTCAATTGTTAGCTTAATTTTCTCGTTTCTTTTTCTATCGGCTTGAGAAGTTCCTACATTTGACTTCCTGTCTATAAATGTCAAACTGCCATTACGTGCTAGAAACTTAGAAACTCAATGATTGTGTTCTAATCTGAATAGCTCCTGAAAACAATTACTTGACGGAATCACTAAGTAAAACATTACTTTAAAGACTAAGAAAACTAAACTTGTGCATGAAACTCTTTATGGATTTCTTTCCGTTCTTGAAAAGTCACATGCAAATTGTCTTAATTTGCAGCTGAATCCAGGGATTATCTTGTCTATTCATATATTCATAAGCGCATAGAACAGCCGACCAAAATCGAATTTAGCATCATTGCTAACTCTCTTTTTTTTTATAAAAAAAATTAAAAAGCAAAAGTAGAAAAGTTACTTCTTTTTTTTTTTTTTGAAGGAAAACATTAACCCAAAAATGAAAAAAGAAGGAAAAGATAAGAGCTTGGTCCACTTGCAAGTTAATAAATTGTAGTGTATACTAGATAGATTGTTACGGAAGCCCAAATCTTGATTAAAGATCATTGATATTACTTAGCCTTCACTCTGTTCTTAATGATAGCGTAACAAACTTAAAATTGGCCTTTTTAAAAAGCTTATCATACCATCATGTTCTATGCCACTCGTCCGCTTCTTCTTCTTCTTTTTATTTCTTCATTGGTTTTTCTTTATATTTTTTTACTTGATTTTTTTTGTTTTGTTTTGCTTAATCATGAGCTTCATTTATAAAATCTACTGTCACTTTCTTGAAAAGTATATATATATTTATCAAAAAGTAGTAAACGAATTCCCATCCGATCTTTGTCACTCCTTTGTTTTACTTCATTCATGGATTTGTAAACACTACTGTTTTTAGTTGTTCAAAAGTATTTTTCCTCTTCACCAATTTCCTTTTATTCTCTTTTTCTTATTTCATTTCAACGTAATTTAATTTAGCCTTTTTCTCTTTCAAGCAACAAAACACCATTATCATCTCAAACCATAAAAGAGTCGCAAATGAAGAAGATCCTATGTGACAATAATGATTGTAATGGTGTATCCTGAGGCCACTCAAATTTTGACTCGTAAATAATTTAATTGTGATAATAATAACAATATAGACGAATGACATTGCAATTAGTCATTAAAACTAAATTCCTATTGTAGAAATCTCTAATTTTGGGTCGTAAGAAATTTACTCAAAAACCTTCTGCTCGCATGATGCATTTTGGTTCATGGAGCGAGGGGCCGATACTGTTTGATCCAGTTATTATACTTTTTATATTACTTAGTATATAATTACATTACAATAATATGATTTGATCCTGTTATTGTACTTTTGTATTATTCAGTATATAATTACATTATATTGTCGTATTCGAAATAAAAGTGACGTGCATGAATAAAATATTTGATGTAATATTATGATGTATTTATATATTAAAAATTTGAACATATACAATGATTGAAGGAAGGAGGCCGCGTAAAATACATTTGAGCTGAACTGAGCTATTGTCCCGTTTTGATTCTGCTCGACTAATCGTCATTCTCTAGGTCGGTGTTAGAGAGCACTGACCAGACAAGTTCGGTTCTAAATTCCATCTTTATCCTTATTGGAAAGGGTTGAGTCACCATGACTCGGATGTGCTGTAGCTCACAAGTACTTATTGGCTTTTGACTCCGTCGCTGTTGGAAAGCGATAATCAATAAATCCTCTTGCCGCTCTTGTGAGTTGTGACCTTTCTAGGTTATCAACGTGTCACACAACAATTTATGACATGCGTAAAATATTTGGATTACTCCTTTTAGTCTTTGCTAATGAAATTTCTCAACTTTTTTTTCTTTTTGTTTGGGGAAAATTGTCAGCCTAAACCAATCATACTCACGAGAACAGTGTAGTATACGGGGGAAAAGGCTGTTTTAAGGATGCAAAACGAGTCGGTTGTCATGATCAATATGTCATCATTGTCTATAGTAGTTTTTTCTTTTTCTTTTTTTTTTCTGAGTAGATTACATCGAGCGATATCCCTTTTCTCTTTTTTTTTCTCGTACCATTCAATTCATCTCTTTTTTATTTTTCTGTCTAGATGAGTTTATTAAGTCGGAGAATTTATAATTAATTAAGGCATCGCGGTTGTGTTTGCCTAGATTACTTCATTACTAATCATTAAGCGTTCTCGTAACTTCACAAATTTGATTAAACCAAAGCTTTTCTTTTAAAAACTCTTTGTTTTCATCAGGTCTTCAATGTTTATCCTTTGGGACAATATTAAATATGAGATTTCATGAAATCGCTTACATGTACAAGGACTTTCTGGATGAACATGGAAATTTTACATCGGTTTTTTGAAAAACATTTTTTAAAAATTTTTTGGTGTTGTTGGGTCAAAGAAAAGCATCTCCTCCTAACTCAAGAATACAAAATGCACTGATAGATGACATTTCAATTTTTCTTACCCACTCCTGTTCCATTTCAATGAGGACTTGTGACCACTAGTTAGACGTGATTTATTAGCTAAGCCACCTACCCTCTAGGAATCCCAAATTTTATTTAGCTTAGCCTTCATAATATTGATTGGGGGGAGTTTCTTTCTTACTATGGTCTCATTTGACAAATGAGTTTTTTGAATGTTTGTCTAAAACTTTTACTGTAATTTACTGCAAAAGTTGTAGGAAAAATTTTCGAAATATATAATTTTTTGGATATTTTGATGTGTATAATTTAAAATTTTTGAAAAATTTTTTGAGGTTACTGTAGTTAAAATTGTTAAAAAACTTGTAGTAGACAAACTTGACAAAAAACTTATTTGCCAAACAAGCCTGTTATAGAGTTAGGTTTGACAATTCATTGGTTGCAATGACTAATTAATTTGCTAAGCCCCTCACGACGAATGCCTGCCTTAAAACAGTCAAGAATCAATTGAAACTTAAAATTAGTGGATCCAGAAACAAAAGTTAGTATATCTAAAAATTAATACGGTCGTCTATCTTTTTTTTTTTCCTCTCAATTTGACAGAAACCACACATATAAAACAAAAATTACAAGTTTTTGTAAGTAATAATTGCATGAAGTCACGAACTAGTAAATAAAAAGAAAAGAAAATATATTATTTACAAATGAAGATGAATTATTTTCTTTGCATTTTATTTACTAGTCATCACAAATGAAGATGAATCACAATTCATGTTTTAGTCAAGTCCAATCTTATTCATCTTCATTTGTGTTGAATTGTCATTTTCAACAGCTAGTTTTCGAGGTTTTTAGAGGACAAATGGTACGCCAAACTACTTTTACCATTATATCACAATTATTATTAGTATTAGCAGTGGTAATAGACAAGCAAAGTTGCCTTTAAGAAGAAAAAAAAAAAAAAAAAGAGGCAAAGGAAAAGACCACTTCTACCGCCTTATAACAATAATGACTTTGCCAACTCTAGCAAGTGCCAACAAGAAAATAGAGCTTTTAACGAATCCAGCTAGTCGCCAGCCAACGTGTTTGTATTCAATTCGTTCAAGTTCAAAAAAAAAAAAAAAATTCGATCGTTTAATAAATTAATCGAGTTCAAAAATGTTATTAGCCTCATTTAATAATCGAGCCGAATATGAACCTATTCACGAACTATTCAAATAATTGATAAATACATATATAATTATAAACATAAATAATACAAATATAAATACGTTTAATATTATTAAATATATATTATATTTTACTTTAAAAAGTAATTATACAAAAAATAGTAGTATTATTTATTT